AATACATGTATCCCAAAATCGGTAAATAATTATTTTTGTAGAGATGAGGTATTTAAGAATGAATTTTCAGTAATCGCAAGTCATAATGTTTTCATATTAGTATTCTAAAGTATGGATAAATATAAATACAATTTTTGGCCATTGTTGATTTTCTTTGCTTTTGTCTGGGTGGAATGATAGCCACATTACCTAATACTGTATTACGTCATTTGAGAAGTTAGTTAGAAAATTAATCATCAATAAATACTTTAAATATTATTTAACCCTCGGACTAATGAACCCTCGGAACATCGACCTGTGACCCCTGAAGGAAGTCAAACAGCTGATGGAGAAGGTAGCTACTCTGAAGTTGAAAAATGTTAATAAAGATAAAAAAATGTCTGCACTTGAAATTAAAATATATGAAATGGAGCAATACAGTAAGACGGATAACATTGTGATTTCTGATATGAATATAAAGCTATGCAGGGGTAGCAGCTGCCAGAGCTGAAAGAATTACAGGCAACCACGGACTGGATAGACATGGTGATGTGACGAATGAATTTCCCGAGTCTCAATTCAAGTTATTGATTTCTTTTCACAAAAAATTAAATGTTAAGGTAAAAGAGGTTGACTTAATCACATTTTCTAGCTAGAAGAAATCGATTAGGAAAACAAGATCTATATATCTAGTCGTATAAAATCTACTATAATGAAAAACAAAAAAACATCTTAAAGGAGGATCGGTGTACATAAATGAACATCTAAGGAGAAGGTCAGCTCTATTATTCAAATTGGCAAGGGCATTACGTGCTGTAAAGAAGATAGCATCAACATGGACAAGAAATTGCAAGGTTTTTGTAAGAACAGTAGGAGAAGACGAACGGACTTTCATTATATCCCCACATAATGATTTCCAATGACTGACTTGAGTTTAGGCTAAAAGTGTATTCAGTGCCTGGTGTTAGTATCCTGTCAGGGTAGGTGATTAATTAACTATGACATTCCTATGTAGTATAAGAAACAATAATGTTGGAGTAAACTCTATATAATGTGGTGTCTGTAATTCTATGGTACACCGTGAATGTGCAAATTTAACACATACAGAGCAGCAGGATTATGATTTAAATGACTGGTTATGGTTTTGCCAGAAATCCAGATTAGAAATTTTCAATTTCAGTGGAATAGTTAATGAGGATTTTGATATGTTGTTCGGTATTGACATACCTGATAATTTGTACAACATATACATTAAATGCACTGATTTGATTTTTTTTTAAATTAAATACACAGAATATAATGTTAATAATTATGCTATTGATATACCAAGATAATAACTTTCAATAATTTTAATATCGACTTTCAATATTATATGGATAACCAGTTTATAATGTTAATTACTGGTGTGAATAATGGATAATGGTTTGTCATTTATACATTTTAATTGTAGAAGTATATATGCCAATTTTAAGAATGTTATCAATTATTTGCAAGAACTAAATCATGATTTTGACATTATAGAATTATCTGAAACATAGTTAAAAAAACAATGAAACAGCATTCAATATTCAAAATTATAATTGTTATACTGCTACAAGAAACTATAAGTCTGGGGCAGGGTTGCATTATTTATTATGAATACTTTGGATTGCGGAAAGATTTTGGATAAATCATTTTATATAAATAATATAATGGAATGTGTAATTGTTGAGCCTTTGATAAATAATAATAAGGTATGCATACCATGTATTTATCGTATTACGGGAATAGATATTAATGAATTTAACACTCAGTTGAACAATTGTGTTGATTCACTAAAAAGCGAAGAAGGTGTATATATGTGGAGATTTTAATATAGATTTGTTGAAGTGCGAAAATAGCATGGGTTCTAAATATTTTATAGATTTGATGTATAGTAATGGAATGTTTCCTCTGATTACTAAACCCACTAGAATTACTGATTATAGTGGTACTTTAATAGATAATATATTCACCTCCGAAATAAAGCAAAACATTAAATGCTGTATATTAATTAATGATATTACAGATCATTTTCCAGTGTTTGGTATGGTTTGCCTTGATTTACAAAGGGATGATAAAGTATATAGAGGAACTGTATACAAATGAATATATTAAAATTATCAAAATGTTTGAGGAAAAGCTTGACAAAGTTGATCGGAATGTTATTTTATGTTTAGATAATCCTGATACAGCATATGAGTTATTTATTGAGATTATTACTGAAATATATGATAAATATTGTTATGTAAGACACATTAGAGTAAAAACAAATTAATAAACAAGTAAACAATGGATGACAAGTAGTTTACAAAATGCATGTAATAAGACAACATGCTGTACAGGGCTTTTCTTAAGTATAGAACTGAAGCCGCAAATATATATAAAAGGTATAAAAATAGATTAGTTAAGGTGTTGAGAAACGCAGAGAAGCTTTACTATAGCCAAACATGAGCTACAAATGTTAATGATATGAAAAGAACATAGAAAGTTTTGAATAGTATTATAAATAAAAAAATGAGTTATTCAGGTGTACCAAATAGGTTTGAAAGTGATGGTGATGTAATTGATAATAAGTCTCATATTGCTACGGGATTTAATAATTATTTTGTAAATGTGGGGTCTGATTTGGCTAGTTAAATTGCTTCTATAAATGTAGATTTTTGTAAGTATATGAGTATGCCTATATTTACACACGGTGTAACACCTGAAGAAATTGGGACGTCAACATTTAAAAGCAAAAATCCCAGGGGATATGATGGAATAAATATGCAAATTGTGAAATCTGTCATATATTCAATGGCAACACCTTTCGCACACAAATTTTATAGATCATTACTGCAGGA